TTGTTAATACGTTCCGACTCCGTTGAGATTTGGATTTGGGTCACATAAATGCGCACCCGAATTTAAGCATGTAATTTAATGAAAATCGCGTCTAAAGAGTCTTACGCGTTATTATCTTTGGGGAAAGCCGTGAAGTTCGCTAAATGGCTACTCCCGAAATCTACGTAATTATTAACATCTATTGAGGGCCCCGCAGTTTGTGCGTCTTTGTTTTGCGAGGCTTGCCTCATTTATTTTAAGGATATCCTAAAGTGACTACATTTCTATTAAATTCGTTTCTAAAAATAAAAGAGAAAAAATCCTAATTAGTTACATGCTTAAAAAAAAGGGCGTAACATATTAAATGCTAGATTAAGACAAATGTTAACGGAAAGGAATATTACTAAAATTGAAATTATAAATAAACTATGGAATCGACAAATAATATGTTCAAAAGAAACTAATTATCTTATAACTAGATTAAACTCGCAGTGTTAGATGACTTGAACCGTTGGATTAATTATTTACGACTATTTGAAACTAGAATCAATCTTAATTACTAATGCATATTCGAAAGTTTATTAAATTCAAATGTTAACTCGTCTTGTTTGAACTCAAATCATGTCATAATGCCTAATTCACGAAATTAATCTAAATTCATGCTTTAACTAAATTTAGCTACATGTTCACGATTAACCTACTGTTGACAATATTAAAACCTTCAACCTAGTGAACTAACCAGTTTTACCAAGTCGATTCACTAAAGACCAACTTATGTTATTTTCCTCTTACTCCAGTTGTTAAACAGTTTGATAGTAATGAGCATGCTTAAACATATACTACCTAATAACCAAACTAAAACAGAGTATTATTTAATACATCACTACAAGATGCCTAGTTATGCAAAGCAACCGAAATTTACAGAATAATAATACATGAGATAACCTAAACACAATCAGTAAAAGAGACAAAGGAAAAAAAAGCTAAATTAAAACTTCAAAGTTTCATTCTTCATATGTATTCATGCTTTCACATTTCAGCTTACAATATCGATAAGGTTACGGCCATGTACCTGGTATTGGAAGTAAAAGAAGAGGAAGATCAGTAGAAGCAGCAGTAGCATAAATACACAGCAACAGCAAAACCAGTAACGACCAGTAGAATAACCCAGTAACAGATTGAAAACCAGCAGTATCAGAATGCAATCGCAGTCAAAGCAGAAGAGAGATGGATACAAAACGCAGTAGTTTACTGATTTTTGAATAACACTCAAGGAAAAGCAACCTGAAATTATTCAAGTAAAAATTGAGCTTGTTTTTCTCTTTTTGCTCTCAGATTCTGATTTCTCAAAATTCAGTCAACTCTCTCAACTTTCTCCTCTATCTACACTGTGTAAAAATTACTCTATTTATAACTAAGACTCTTGTCTTGAACCACTAACCCGAAATATTCCCATAATTGCATGCCTTGCCCCCACTACTTAATGTTTTTCTTATTTAATTCCCTTGTTCCCCATGCCTACATATTTTGTCCCCCACTATATTAAACAAATACATTATTCACACTCCATTATGTCTTATCCCCCACTATATTAAACAAATGCATTATTCTCACTCCATTATGTCTTGTCCCCCACCATGTACTATTGTAATATTATTAATGCCTAGTGGACGGAGCACTCAGATTAAATAATTGTTCAAATTTTCAATTCCAAAAATACCCCTCCGAACTTACTGAAATTACCATTTTACCCCTGAAAATACTGCAATTTGCCATTCTACCCCATCAGCTATAACCAATTCGCCTAATCAATTCTAACCAAAATACAACAGCTATAACCAATTCCTAAACAATTTCAAACAACAATTTCAAACTAAATGATGAACAACAAAGAAACAACTCGAATTATTTTGACTGAACAATATTTTAATTTTATTTTTTCTTTTAACAACAAACCTACTTTCAGATTCAACAACAATAACAAACAAGTAAATTCAAATCACTAAACTAAAAAAAATCAATTGAACTTCAAATTAAATCTAACCACATTATAACCAACACACTTCTATATTAAACTAAACAAGAACAAATGAATAAAAACAAACTGAAGAAATAATCAAGAAAAGAATCAAACATATACTGGTTTCAGATCCGAGAATATCAAACAAAATACGGACAGAACTGAAACTTAAACCAAACTAACCGGATCGGAACAACGATGAACTCGAACGGAAACAAATCTTCCCGGAAACTTTGAAACCAAAATAACTCGAATCTGCCCGGAAAATAACTCGACGAGTAGGAACGCAGCAGTGGCAGCGTTGGGCAGTCCGTAGGGGGGTCGTGCGGAGATGGAGTTCGCTGGGGGTTTCAAGTGGACGGGGCTGGTGGTAACGACGGGACTGCGTGTGATGTAGCTATTGGTCGTGAGGGAACTACTGGTCATTTGGAGATGATGAACTGCACGCGTCGAAGCTGCACGTAGCAGCAGTTCACGTCCATGGCTAGAGCCTCGCAACTGGAGGAGCTGGGCGTTCATGGCTTGGGTTGTCGCGGGTGGTCGCTTGGAACGGAGCTCGTTGGCTGCTGTAGGGTGGTTGTGTTATTTGGTCATTTGGTCGTGGAAGTTGCTGCTGGTTTGTGGGCGATGAAGAAGACGAGGTTGAAGGGGTGGTAACGATGAAGGAGAAGACGAAGTAGTGGCA